AGGTGGTGCCGCCCCCTCGGGGCGGCCTTCGCGCTGCTGCAGCCCTGCCCGGTCCACTGCCAGGGCCTGTCGCTTCAGTTGTGTCCCTGGGTGGTTAATCCCCTACTTTGCCGAGTGTTGTTAGTCCGTTGATCCATTCTTCACCCTTGCTTGCCTTCATTGGTCTCAGGAATGACGTTTAATGTAAGTGTAACCTTTCAGAAAGACGCAGCAAAAACGCCTGGACTGAGAGCTTTCTGGTGGGAGCACTCGGCATTACAGATGTAGTGACTGAGATCTTTGTGAGCTGAGCTCTGTAGTCCACTTGCATGGTGGTCCATTAAGACCAAATCTGAAGGATGGAGAAATGGAGCAATGTCCTGGAGGTGGGCATTTGCCGCCATTGGCGATGTGGCCGAGTTCAGCAGACAGTGAAGTGATTTTTACATGTCAGAATTGATGCAGCAGGTGGGGGATATGTGCAGAGACTTAAGTATGCGCATTGTAAATACTCAAGGATGGTATGTATGATATGAAGGGTAGAAAGGAAGGAGCAGGATCATCAGGACTGTCAAATGGATGAGGTGCCTGCTTTTTGGAAGGGATAGCATCTTTTCCAGTTGGCAATCCATATAATAAAAATGTAAATTGTCCAGTGCTCCATCAGTCCCTAAGTAGTATTCTGAGTGATCTCACAATAAAGTCAATTTTTAGTATAACTGATAAGTTTGCCTAGCCAAGTATTCAAGTTTCAAAGTTTGATACTGAAAAAAACCCGAATTTAAAGCATAATTCCAACTTTTGGAATGTATCTAAACATAATTTACCTACTTTTATGTTTTTCTGTAGTACTAGCTAGAGGAGTCAACAGTGTAACTCTGTTACAAAAGTTACAGGTACTATATAGATGTAGTTGCTGAGTGTCCTTGTAAAGATGTCTACCCCATGATATAGATAAGCTAAAGTTAATCGTGTAAAAATTAACCTAGAAACTTGGCAAAATAATAACAATGTTGTCTAACTGAAAACAAATCTCTTTGTTTCAGATTTTCTTCCCTTTGTATGTGATGGCTGTTCAGGTGTCTTTTGGTAAGTTCATAGAGTATCTCAAGTTGGAAGGGACCCATAAGGATCATCGAGTCCGACTACCTGCTCCTTGCAGGACTACCTAAAACTAAACCATATGACTAAGAGCATCATCCAGCTACTCCTTGAACTCTGACAGGCTTGGTGCCGTGACCATTTCCCTGGGGAGCCTGTTTCAGCGACCGAACACCTCTTTTTCTAAAGTCCAATCTGACGTTCCCCTAACAGATTCATTCCATTTCCTTGTGTCCTATCGCTGGTCACCAGAGAGAGATCAGCACCTCCTCCTCCGCTGCCCCCCTTGAGGAAGTTGTAGGCTGCAGTGAGGTACCCCTCAGCCTTCCCTTCTACAAGCTAAACAAATTAAGTGACCTCAGCCACTCCTCATGAGTCTTGCCCTGGAGACCTTTCACCATCTTGGTTGCCCTCCTCTGGACACATTCTAATAGTTTGATGGCACCAAACCTCACACAGTACTCAAGGTGAGGCCGTACCAGTGCAGCATAGAGGGGGACAGTCGTCTCCCTTGACTGGCTAGCTATGCTCTGCTTGATGCACTCCAGGACATGGCTGGCCCTTTTGGCTGCCAGGGCACACTATTGAGTAATATTAACTTGCCATCAACCGAAATCCCTGGAGTTCTTCCCACAGGGCTGCTCTCAAGCCTCTTGTCCCCCCAATTTGTACATATAACCAGGATTACCCTGTCCCAGGTGGAGAATCTGGCACTTGCTCTTCTTAATTTTCATACAGTTGGTGATTGCCCAGCTCTCTAGTTTATCCAGATTTCTCTGTAAGGCCTCTCTACCCTCAAGAGTCCATAGCTCCTCCTAATTTAGTATTGTCAGCAAACTTACTTAATGTACATTCAGTTCCTGCATCCAGATCATTTATAAAAACATTAAAGAGCACTGGTGCTAAAATTGAGCCCTGGGGAACTCCACTGGTGACTGACTGCCGGTCTGATGTAGCCCTGTTTTCTGTAACCCAGTCAGCCAATTGCTTGCCCGGCATATTAAGGACTTGTCTAGCTGTGTGCCAGACATTATATCCAGAAGGATGCTGTGAATAGACCGTATCAAAAGCTAAAATCCGAAACCATCTACTGGCTTCCCTCGGTCAACTAGATGGGTGGTATTGTCCATAAAAGGAAATTAAATTGGTTTTCTTATAAGATCTTAGTGTGACAGTTGTGTAGACCTAAATGTTATATAAAACATTCTGTGACTCAATTCAGATACATTAAAAAATAATTGTTTCATTGAATTTGCCACATATTTTCCTTAGCGGTTGTTGTGGAGCTTTGAAATCAGTGGGAATATCTTTAGAATGCAGGTAGATTATTTTGGACAGCATCTATCTTAGACACTGTTTTGTACTGAATTTTTTTTGAGGGGTGGGGTGGTATTTTTTCTTCTAGAAAAAAAAAATTGAAGTTTCTTCCAAGGTTCAAATCAGGTCCTGCACTTCAATTTACACTTCAGATTAGCAGAGGGTGGGTGAGATAAGCACAGATAAACTGAGGGCAGATTTCACTTTAACATGTTAGAAGCCTTCAAGGGATTTCTGCTGTTGTGAAAGGTGATTCAAAATCCATTAAAACAGGCAAAATCCACTTGCTTTGAGCTGAATTCTTAAGCATGCTAATGTTCTTATTCTCTTGAAATGTTTTTTTTATCTTGGGGCATAAGTTCCAAGAGCTAAATGTTTTACATTATTTGGGAAGAATACGATCAATCTATTCAAGATGTGAAATGCATAGATTAGAACAAATTTTGGAGAAGATTCATTATTTAGTTGAAGTGTTCCCGTGATAAAACTTGTCAGATCACTCTTTAAACACTTAAATATTTTCACATGCAGTTTTCTTTTCCTGAAATGTTGATAACAGTGTGCCGTTTTCTTTTTTTGCCACAAAGCCTTCAGCACAGGAGCCGGGATGCTCATGGGTGTTCTGAGGTAATCTGATAATGTATGACTACCTTAAAATTCTGGACAACATAACTGTTTATTTTCAGATTAGATATATACACATAGTATATAAGTATGAATTAATTAACTGAGAATTATCTGAGAATAAGATGACAAGCTTAAAAAAAATGAGTCTACTCTTTTTCTGCCTGTCAGAAGTAAATTGAATTTGAGTAGGATGATGGTTCTTTTTATAACACTGAGCTAAACTTAACCAGGACAAAAGTAGGAGAGAATCACTGAACTAATTTTGCCCATAGAACAGAGAGCTAGCACAGTTCTTTTGGAAAGCTGGGGTGGTGACTTGTATCTGTCATATCTGTTTATTTACACAAAATATTTTATACTAATGCCTAGGTGAATATAAGAAACAATTCTGTGAAACCAGATCAGCACAGATTTTACCCATGCTCATACAAGGACTGCAACGGAAAAGAGCTTTTGCCAGTTTTATGTCCCTACTGTGAAAAACATTTTTGTCTAAGGTGAGTGGAACAGAATGTTTAAACATCAATACTCATTCATTAGTGTGTGGGAAAGGTAATAAAAGCTTTACACTGTTGTTTTCAGACACCGGCATCAATCAGACCATGAATGTGAGAAACTGGACACACCAAAACCTCGAATGGCTGCCACCCAGCAGCTGGTTAAAGATATTATAGGCAAGTACAGTGGGATATATATTCTACAGTTTTCTTCAGAAGGCTATTTGGGCTTGTAACCTCCTCTGAGCATTCAGGTTTGACCAAATAAGAAGAAAGGATGGGGGTTCATTGTTTAAATGGCCTTAAACTCACATGTCAGCATGTAATACCATTCATCTAGACTGAGACAACAGTGGCATATGTCTCCAAAAGAGAACCTTTAAAGCTTAAATAGAGCTTGGATTTCTTTCAGAATTAATGTCTTGTTCTCATTCTACAAGTACTATAATGTAATTAATTGTACCTAGCCATATAATGCAATTGTATTTTATTGGGTGCACATGCCAATCTGCTGGGATTATACCCACGCAACCAAGATGGCAAAAAAAATGTGAGCCTACAACATAAAGTTTTGCAGCTTTTAAACAAGCTCTAGGACAGGAAAGAGAATAAACAGCACTGCCTAACTGGACACTAGAATGTATGCGTAAAAAGGAGGACCTGAAACTGTTGCCATATGAATGCTGTAATGGGCACAGGTGTAGAAACATAGGAATTTGTATCTGTTTGGCTTTTGGAACCTGTGTTTACCTCAGGATAGTATTTGTCTACTTTTCAGTGTAAATGAGTTCTGCTAGAACTGTAGTAATTCCAAATGTTCTTGAATACAAGTACCTGGTATCATATCCTTGGGAGGACATAAAAGGGATGGCAACCTTGGAGATACAATGAGGTCAAATAGGCTAATTCCAAAATATGTTCAGGAGACAGTCTGAATCGTCACACTAACAGCAATAATATTGTTCTCAGATTCTAAAAAGAATGAGGAAGCAAAAAGCAAAAAACGTAAAGGAGCGAGAAACAGTGAGACAGCAGCAAAAGTGGCATTAATGAAACTGAAAATGCACGCATGTGGGGACAAGTCCTTGCCTCAGGTCAGTCATGTTTGTTTTCAATAATTGAATTCTCAAAGGAAGTGGGAAGTTTTCTAAATTTCTTGTTCTTCATTTAGTCCCCTCAGTTTGGTTTGGATTTAATTCTCAAGCCCACAATACAAATATGTATATTTCAGCCTGGTACCCAAAAGCAATCTCATTAGTCTTAGATCTGTTATGTCTCTGTGTGGAGTCACCCAGCACTGCAGGGACAGAGAGGTTCTTTTGGGGATCTTCAGCAGAATGATGATGGCACTAAGTTGTAGTTACAATTAACGCTTTATTATTTTAGCCGAATTTGATGATCAGCATAGCATAGAATTTTATGATCACAGTAGGACAGGATTTTTATAATCAGAGTCAGTGTAGTACAATTTCATAAGTAGCGTAGCACAGGATTTTATAGCACAGCTTATTTTATAATCCCAATGATTATAAAAATAAGCTTATAAACCAAATTACTTTGAATTGCTAATTGTGAAAGCAAACCAATTTCTGATTTCAAACATTTTTTTAAAGCATCTGCAGTAGCTTTTTGGACAATTTCAAGCATGGCAGAAATATTTACAATAGCTCTTTCCAGCTCATCAATACTTAAACTTGAAAACAGTGCAGACATAAATTGATGGAATTTCATCATTCTTTGTACCAACAGATTGATCACAACACACTTCTTGCATACAGGGTAATGGTTGTCTAAAAAAGTAGAAGTTCATTTTTTTTAAAATTGAAATGCATGGGGAACAAGACATGATATGTTACAGATACCTGTCCATTGTGGTGCCACACTTTTGTGGGCATTCGTGCCACAGAGCCAGAACCATCTGGATGCTGGAAGGGTGGGCCACTGATTTGGTACTGTAAAATTTTTAGGGAAACGTTCCTTACACCACTGATGAGCCTCTTTTTTCAGTGTCAGGATGATCAAATGTAAGCAGGCAAGTGTGGCTCATTCAAATTGTGTGAAAAGGGTTGGTGTATATACAGCCAGGACAATTACAGATCATCCAGTTGTTATTAGTTCTTAACTCTGTAGAATGTAGAATTAGGACCAGTGAGTTTATAGTATCTTTGGCAAAATGTGCCATTTAAAGTCCATGTGAGATTCCAGGGTGGCGAAATACTTAAAAAAATATTATTTGTAATCACTGATTTGTTTTTACAGATCCATGTGGTTCTTAAATTGGATTCATTACAAACTCTGGTTCAGTTATAGCATATCAGCTGAAACCAAGTTTGTATCTGATTGTAGAGCAGGGTATAATCACAATTGCTTGTATTTTCTACCTGGGTTGAATTTGTATGTTGGGCATTGCAATGCCCCATGGGGTCTTAACATAAGAATGTGCCTTAAAAAGTTGAGTTTGATAATTTAGAGGGTTGGGGAGTGAGTATGCCAATTTTGGTTGGTACCAAGATGTTTCAGGAACAGGTTCAGCTACCCACCCAGAATTAGCAGCTGAAGATTGAGGGTGGTGTAAACAATACCAACAGTTGATTCATTATGATTAATGATTCATTACCCACGTGAGAGGTGATGTTCATGAACTGAATGGCATGATTATCATCCCATTCGTGAAATAGGGAGGAAGAGGGTACAAATAAGGGTGAGTACGATACAGCGTGTGTTGTGATCATCTTTTTACAGCTGAGGTTTCCACGAAGGTAGAGTGATGATTCCTTGGGTGCACTCCAGGTTTGTTCAGGCCAAAGAATCTGTCCAAGTATAGTTCATTAGCTGAAGCTATAAGAAATTACTCAGTCTTGGGAATTATCCAAGCCTCAGTGAAAGTTAAAGGGAGTCCCCTTTTAGAAACAGTTTTCCGTATACCCTTTTATCAGTGAGTTAGTAAAGGGACAGGTATTTTGACCATCAAAGGATAGGTAATAAGAACAGTGTCACCCTGAGAAAAACGATAGGCTGACAGTGGGCATTTTAGATGTTTTATGGGTTGGAGAGCAGGAAAATTAGCTTGTTCCAGTGGGCATCCAGAGGGTGTCTGCCAGTTATTTAAGCATCCAACAGCTTTAGGTAAAGCTTTACCCCATTTTCCTGTATATAAACTTCACCCTAGAGCTGTTTTAGTAGACTATTCCATGTCTTGACTGTACCATAACTTTGGGGTCTGTAGGACAGGTGGAACACCCAGACAACTCCATGATGTTAACACTATTCCTGGAATATTTTTTTTTTTTTAATGAGTGCCATTTTGTCAGATTGCACAGCAGGGGGCATGGGAGCATCAGCAAACCATTGAATAAATCCTGCCAAAGTGGTAAGACCATCAGCTTTCTGGCAAGCAAAAACTTTCCCTAAGTCTGATGTTATTTAAACTCCCTCAAGGATATAATGCCACCCCTCAGGTGTTCGAGGGAGAGGTCCAACATAATCAATTTGCTAAGTGGACCCAGGGGACTTATTTCCTGCCTCCTATCCATTTGTTCCCCAAAAGGGTGACCTCCTGGCTGGGGCCCTGGCATTGTTTCTTCATCAATTGTTTCAGTTGCCCTGTATCCAGCTCACAGAATATCCATACTTAATATCACAGAATATCCATATTTAAGTTTCCTAGTCGCGTTTGCTATTTTCGGGAAGTGGGGGGAGGCAAAAGAGAAGTTCCAATTTTACCTTAACAATTGAATAAAGAACCATTTACTCCAGTTACCGATATTTTCTGATGTTTCAGAGGCATAGCTCCAGGACACGATTCTGCTTTAATCATGAATAGTTGTGCTCCAGTATCTATGAGTAAATCAGTCTTTAATTTATCATTTACTGTGGCCCAAAGGGTGGGACTCGGTCCTCAAGTGGCAGAGGGTAGGGCCACTTGTACCTCTGCCAGTCTGAGTCCCTTGTCTAGTTTCCATGATACTCCTCCCTGATAGGAGATAAGTCAGGATATTTTTGTTGTTTAAAGGGTTTTCTGTTTATGAGAGGCACACTAGGTAGAAGTGTGGACAGCTTTTCCTCCTTTTCCCCTTCTTTCACTAGCAATCTTAGGGTTTTTTGGTAGGCAAACCGTGGAGCAAGTCACCAGTGTATCCCTGATTTATGCAGGCATGCCACCACTTGTTTCACTTCGATCCTGCACTTTTGGTTTGATTAGGAAGTCTCCTCATGGTGTTATATTGTTTATTTAAATTGGCCTGATGGCTGTGTGGGGCACTTGTTTGACCTCCATGTGGGACTGAGGGAGTTAAGACCCAGCACTGCTCCCTTCATATGGGAGGGTCGGGGCTTAATTCTTGGCTTTGTGGAGCACTTGTGAAAAAAGGATTTCTGCAGGTAAACCCTGGCATATTTGCATAAAGACTAATTTGTCTGACCCTACAGTTCCTTTCCCATCAGGCCTCAGTTCAGAGGACATAGAAGGAATGTTCCAAGGAGTAGGTTTGCCACCTGGGGCTTCAGCTGGATGTAATAAGGTTATAATAGCTGCTTGTAATTAAGCTTCCTGCAATTCATCTGGGTCCTGCCAAGGAATTGTAGGTTCCTCACTCAGATCTTGATAATGGACCCCTCTTGTCCACTGAATAGTGAAGGCCCATAAGGTTCAAGCAATATTCCCTCTGAGGGTGAGAAAAATTCCAGGACCTAAATCTAAGTCTTTTGCCTGTCCTGCAAACAGATTTACTCTTGCTGCTTTATTATGCCAGAGGCAGCACAGCCTCTATTTAACTATTGACTGGCCAGGTTATTTTTGGTATATTGCCTGATTATTTTTTTTTTTTTCGCAAATAATCCATATTGCAAACCAAATATTAGTAGTATCCCTTCTCTGTGGATTGTTCCCCTGTGGGTTATCAGTAGTGATTTCTTGTTTAGTCAGGGGATGTATTGGTACAGAATCAATTGCTTCCTCACCAGATTCATCGGGGCTGTCCCAAAATCTCTCCAGCCCAGTCACTATTATACATGGCTACATAGTCCTTTACGGCATCTATATCACTACCTTTTAACAGTTTTTTCACAATTTTTTTTTTTGCTTTTTCTATAACTTGTGGCACTAATTGTTTTTCAAGAGACACTCTTTTTCCAGATTTACTGTCGGCCTTTAATTTGGTTATACTAATTCTAAATCACAGAATGATAGGGGTTGGAAGGGACCTCTGGGGATCTTCTAGTCCAACCCCCCTCCCAGAGCAGGTTCACCTACAGCAGGTTGCACAGGATGGCATCCAGGTGGGTTTTGAATGTCTCCAGAGTCGGAGACTCCACAACCTCTGGGCAGCATGTTCCAGTGCTCTTCCACCCTCAAAGTAAAGAAGTGCCTCCTTTAGATGGAACTTCGTATGTTCAAGTTTGTGCCTGTTACCTCTTGTTCCATCACTGGGCACCACTGAAAAAAGACTGGTCCCATCCCCCTGGCACCCTCCCTTTAAGTATTTATAAGCATTGGTAAGATCCCCCCCTCAGTTGTCTTTTCTCTAGACTAAACAGACCCAAATCCCTCACCCTTTCCTCATAAGAAAGATGCTCCAGTCCCCTAATGGTCATTGTAGCCGTTTGCTGGACCCTCTCCAGCAGTTCCCTGTCCTTCTTGAATTGGGGAGCCCGGAACTGGACACAGTACTCCAGATGCGGCCTCACCAGGGCAGAGTAGAGGGGGAGGATACCCTCCCTCGACCTGCTGGCCACACTCTTCTTGATGCACCCCAGGATGCCATTGGCCTCGTTGGCCACCAGGGCACATTGCTGGCTCATGGTCATCCTATTGTCCACCAGGACTCCCAGGTACCTTTCTACAGAGCTGCTTTCCAGAAGGTCAGTCCCTAACCTGTACTGATGCATGGGGTTATTCCTTCCTAGGTGCAGTACCCTACGCTTGCCCTTGTTGAATTTCATGAGGTTTCTCTCTGCCCAACTCTCCAGCCTGTCCAGGTCATGCTGTAAGGTGGCACAGCCTTCTGGCGTGTCAGCCACCCCTCCCAGTTTTGTGTCATGAGCAAACTTGCTGATGGTACACTCTGTCCCTTCATCCAGTTCATTGATGAATATA